TCTGTTCAGTGCAGCATCACAGCATTAATTCACTCCAACTTACAATTATTTTCTCCTAGCAAAAATGACTGTGAAGCCAGGTGCTTCATCCAAAATGCATCCCAAATACAGAAAAAATGTTAGTGGTCATAGCATATGAAGAAAAGTTCAGTAATCACATCTTACAGCTCTTAGATGTATAAACAGATGGCAAGGCATCTCAGCAGGTGTTACTGCCAGCCATTTGGCAAGACAAAACCTCTCAGTGGATACTAAACATACTATCACAACTGTTTGAGATAAAACTTCAATATCCTCTACCAAAAATATACCTCCCTTGCTAGAATACTTCAAATATTTTGAAAGCACAACCCAGTAACTAAGAGAAATTGTTCTGAATTTTGCATTTTTCAAAGCCATATTCACAATACAGAAACAATTAAAAAATAATTTGATCAAGTTGTAACAGAAGACTTAGTTCAAAACTTCTCACCAGCTCCACATCATCTAAGAGACAATGAATAAATAAAAATTCTGCTTCAAAATCTGCTGGTTATGTTGAGAACATTAGCCAGAGAATGAAAGCTAAACTCAAACCCCCTCCTCTAATAATATATTTTATGCCTAGAATTTACATGAAATGCATAAAAATATTTTCATCCTTACCTTTGTTGTATGCAAATGCATCCTGTACATTTTACACTGTATCTGGTTTCATTATGAATTTCCATGTTCCCTGGATACAAGCTAATTATGGATTTTATGAAGAATTATGTATTGTTCTAAAAATCTTTTTCCTTTTCATTGAATCTTATCTATATAAGACAAAAAGAAAGTTATTATAAATTTGAATTACTTTTCATATTTTACAGAGGAATATTCTATTTTTCAAAGTCAGGCAAGATCATATGCTTGTTCTTTTTACACACAATGAAACTCAAATTGGATCCAAGTTCCAGTTTAACCTCTTGGATGAACAACTGCAGCACTGTATTGTGAAGTGAGCTGCACTGGCATCTTTCCTGCCCTGATCCAAATTTCTCTTATTCAATGGCTGGCTACTGGCTGAAAGGACTCCACCCTGCTAGCACCCTCCTGAAGACACCTTCTGCTAGGTCAGGTGGAACTACCTGATCCGTGCTGGCAGCTTTTATCAGTCCCAGAGAAGCCTTGTGCATAACTGGCTGACTGGTCAAAATTTGGGTGTGGTTGTTTGCCCATGTTACTAATTAGTTACATTGTAAACTACCTGAGAAGTTAAACAGCAATATACAGATTAAGGTCTCCCACCCACAACGAGGTCACAAGGTCAGCTAAATTATTAAGATTTACACGTTCATGCAGCAGTGCCCATTTAAGGTCTTCCTTAAGTTATGGGCACAAAGTTCACACAAACTTATGGAACACAAAAGTTATGAAAATGTGTTTAAGATAGAACAAGATTTCAGTTGCTGTTTGGCCATCTTCCAAAAATATGCACTTCCACCTCCCAAAAAATACAGCAATAGAGAACTTGACCTTAGCTGGAATTTCTAACATTGAAGAGGGCACATTTTGTATAACCCATGTCATGATCTTTTACGACTAAATGAGTGGCTAAAACCAGGGAATGTCTGACACACTGGAGGACAGGGCTGCTCTGTGAGGACACCTTCAACAAGCTGGGTAATGTCCTGACAGGACAAAGCCTTGCACCTAGGGCAAAAACCCCCTGGCACTGGTATAGGCTGAGGACTGACTAATGAGACAGCAGCTCTGCAAAAAGAACCTGTGGGTCCCGCTTAAAAAGTGAAAGGAGGATCAACACTGCAACTTTGCGGTAATTAAAACTTGCCACTATACTGTGCCACGACAACATCACAGTGGGTGAAGGGAGATGATTATTCCCTACTTGCCATTTGTGAAGCCACATCTGCAACACTGTGTCCAGTTTGGGCTCCTAAGCATGCAAGGAATACTTAGAAGATCAAAAGTATCCAGAAGAAGGTAACCAAGGTGATTCCAGGGGTTGGAGCCTGGGACAGAGGGAGAGGCTAAGGGAACTTCATCTTGAAGAGAACATTTGAGAGGACACAATCCCAATGCTTCTGAATGGGGGGTAATTAAGAAGGAGGAACTTCTTACTTTTTTGGAGGTGAATAGGAGAAGGACAAGAAAGAATGGCCATTGGCATTGTCTGGATGCCAGTTGCCCTCCAAAGCTGCTCTATCTTTTCCCTCCTCAACTGCACAAGGGAGGGAAAAAATAATGAAATCTCATCAGTTGAGCTAAGGATGGGGAGAGATCTGTCAGCATCATGGACAAAACAGACCCATCTTGGAGAAATCAATTGAACACATTCAAAATTAGAGTAGGACAATGAGAAGTAAAACGAATTTTAAAAACACATTTTCTCCACTTCTCCCTCCTTCCAGGGATTAACTTTATTCCTAAATCTTTACCTCCTCCCCAGCACAGGGTGCACAGGGACAGGTGGTTATTATTGTTATGGTCAGTTCATCACATTCTTTCTGCTGCTGCTTCCTTCTCAGGGAGAGGGGTCCTTCCCATAGGCTGCAGTTCTTCATTAACTGCTTCAGCGTGGGTCCTTTCAACAGAGGGGAAATCCTTCAGGAACAAACTGTTCCAGCATGGATCCCCCATGGGATCACAAGTCCTGACAGCAAACCTGCTCTAGAGTGGGCTCCTTTCTCCACAGGCCACAGGTCCTTCCAGGAACCTGCCAGGGTGACCTTCCCACAGGGTCACAGCCTCCTTTGGGCATCCACCTGCTCTGGTGTGGGGTCCTCCAGGGGCTGCAGGTGGATCTCTGCTCCCCCATGGATCCCCAGGGGCTGCAGGTGGATCTCTGCTCCCCCATGGATCCGTAGGGGCTGCAGGGGCACAGCTGCCTCCCATGGGCTGCAGGGGAATCCCAGCTCTGGTGCCTGGAGCACTTCCTCTTGCCCCGTATTCCTTCACTAGATTTGGTGTCTGCAGGGCTGTTTCTCTCACATATTCTCACTCCTCTCTTCTCTGGCCACACTTACTTCCGTGCAGTAACTTTTTTTTCTTAAACATGTTATCACAGAGGCTTTACTACTGTCAATGACTATCTCAGCCCTGACCAGTGTGAGTCCATCTTGGAGCTGGCTGGCATTAGCTCTGCAACATGAGGGAAGCTTCCGGAAGCTTCTCAGACAAGCCACTCTTATAGGCCAGTCACTAGCAAAATCTTGCCATGCAAGCATAATATAGGCCATAGGCTGCAAAAAGAGAAACTTTCATTGGATTAGAAGAAGGAAAAAAATCCTGTGGAGAGTGACTAAAGACAGAAACCCAAATACAGCCAAAAGATTCTAATTTTCCATTGCTAGTTTATGATTTGCTGGTTGATTTTTCCTTTCTTACTTTTTGATCACTGATCAAAATCATATTGGTGACACGGCTCCCCATGTTCATAGTAAATGTCCAAGATGCAAATTTAAACCTACTATTTCAATATTCATAGTGCAGTGTCATCAGTGAGAATGTAAGATCATCTTTGAGCCTGATTCCCACATCTCCTGGGAGGTGGAGAATGTTAATTCTCTAAGTTCAATACTTGGGCAAGTATAACAGTCTGTTGTGCAGAACTAGAGCTGACAGCTCTGTTCATTGCACTTTGTTACCCATGAGCTTTACAGTTTTATCCAAGTGCTCTCTACATAGGCTGAACACAGCTGCAGGGCTGGCAGAGATTATGCCTCTTCCACTGTGTGTCTAAAACACAGTAGAGCTCAGGATGTAGCTAATCTCAAGGTGAGAGCACTTCTGGACATACACAATGACTTGTGTTTGGTTATCTGACATAAAGGCTTCAATTGAGTTCTGCTGTACCTCAAAGTTAAGATGCTGTTTGGCACTCAGCTGTTTGAACTGTTCTCTGACACTTGAGGGGCTTCCAGTTTGTTAACCAAAATCCAAATGCAACTGATGGAGGTTGAATTTGGTCTCATGTTGCTTTGGAAAAAGAAGACTTATTGATTAAATCAATGTATTTTTAAAGAAGACATTGTTGTGTACAAGTTGATGGCCACAGATGGTAAGGTCTCTCCATGTCTGATTTGAGAAAGTGTGAGACATCTTACTGTTGCACAGACTGTAATGTGACTTGGAACTTCCTCTCAAACCATCAGTCCTACCTCCATTAAGTGATGCTATTACAAGCCAAAGCTTCACAGATTGTTTTTGTGTTCATACCATCACTACACATTTTTTCCTGTGATGATGTGCTTACTCCTGACATTATTTGACAGATTTTTCTTCAACGGCAGAAGCTGCTCCTTAAGTCTATGAAGACTTAATCTCACCCTTTCCTTTGGCAAAATCCAAGTATTACTTATTCAACAACCCGAGGTGCGCACTAAGACAGCACAGGACTAAACAGGACCCTGTGGAAACGTGTCTGGAGACACCGGCAGCCCGGCCACTCACTGCACTGCACCGACGTCCTGTAGCCCGTATTTGGCACAGACATCACACAATTCTCTTTCAGAACACGAGTTTTTCCTCCAAGTGTTCAAAACACTCATCTACGCTATTCCTTGGTAGGTCTATTAGAACAACCAGTGGTTTGGTTCATATTTTTTTACACTGTAACAGCGCAGACCAGGCTGAAAGGGGGCAGAAATGGCAGCTCCAGGGATGTTGGCTGCTCCCACGCGCGTCCGGGTACCGGCGCCCCAGGGCAGCGCTGCGCTCCACCGGCGCGCGCGGCGGTCAGCGCGGGTCTTTCTCCCCACCGGGACAAAGACGGCGCCGGTTCCCGCGCTCTCCGCCCGGCGGGTCGGTCCCGTGGCAGGCGCTGCGCCTCAGCCCGCCCGGGGCTCCAGCCGCGTCCCGCCACAGCCCCGCGGGCCGGGCCCGGCCGCCCCTGCTCCGTCCGCAGCGGCTGCCAGGCACCTGTGCGGGCAGGCCGGGGAGCGGCGCCTGCGCACAGGGCGGGCTCTCGCCGCCAGGACCGCAGTCACTTCCTGCCCCCGTGCCCATCCGGCTCCGGGGTCAGCGGCCGCCGCTCTGGCGGGACAGGGGCGAATAAAGTTTAATTCGGGGAGGGGGAAGCCGCCCGTCCTCTCCAGGTAGGGCCGGCCCGCGGCACCCGCCCGTCGCGCCCGCCCCGTCCCGGCGTCGGCGCCCGCTGTCACCTGCGGCCGCGCGCTCCTCCCGCCCGGCTGCGCGTGGCCGGGGAGGGCGGCGGCGGTCTGGGGCTCGCCCCGCCGGCCGGGGCGCAGGTGGCGGCGGGGCGGGAGCGGGGCCGTGCTCGCCTCGGCCGTTGCAGAGGGCGTCGTGAGACCTGCCGGAAACAATGGGACTTTCTCCTGCGCCAGGGGTGCCGCTGCCTCAGGCCTGCCCGGCCGTAGGAAGCGGGTGTGCGGGCTTGGCGCGCTCCTGAGCCGCTTGTGCTTCGGCGGTGACTGCTAATTTGCTTATTTTAGCAGAAACGGGCTGCTGGATGTAGAAGGAAAGTAGGTCGTGCGCACGGAAAATGCCTCTAAGGGACAAGTGTTGTCAGACTGACCACCATCACCATGGATGCTGTGAACCAGGTATGGTGGTGTGTGGTTCTTGGCTGGTTTGCATGTCTCCTTCATTGAAAACTTGCAGGAACTGTTGTGAGGATGCGAATGTATATCATTGGTATCAGCTTTAAGTATAAAAAGTTTCTGAATTTTGTTTGGAAATAGGTTTTTTTTTTCCTATCCTTAAACTGTTACCTTAAAATAATTTCAGGAAGAGAATATTTTAGTTCCTGCATGTGGGATAATCCTCAGGCCACCACATTGGTGTTGTATGAAGTGAGCACAGGAAGGCAAGAGCTTGTATAAAACAACTGATCATTTTGTTTCCAAAAAGTGCACTGTTCTCAGGGTTTTGTTTTTTTTGTTTTTTTTTTTTTTTTTTTTTTT